CTTCATATACATTAACGTTCATACATGCAAATGTATTTAATTTAAATCTAATTTTAAATGATACTATTACTCTTTGCGGATAGTTTTCGATCGAATCATGCAAATATTCAAGAGTACTTGAGAACATTGTAACCTTTGGGAATTATTCATTTGCAGTACGTGAAACAATCAAGTTAGCGATTTCAATTTAATTCATGAATTACACAAAGGATTTTTCTGTGTTTCTGAATACTTTCAAATATTTCTTTGATTGAAAAATTTTTTGCCAGTTACTTTTTACATATGAAAGGTCTACGAAAAAACCAAGAATATTAATTTTAGCAAATTTTGAGTTCGATATTTTTATGTCGCGTTGCAAATTAAAGTTCCGAGTTTTACATTTATTTCGATTTACTCTTTTAAATACGGAGTTTATATGTACATTGAAAAATAAATTTTCGTTTTTTAAGAAATACTAAAACTTCACAACTTAAACGCTTTATGTACATAGTATGAATATATGAATTTATATATATATATTTTATATAAATAAATATGTAATATATATTTATTTATTATTAATTATATTATATATGCAAAATATTTTCTGATTCACTTAATATTTGTAGATACATCTCATTTAATGATATAAATCAAATAGTGGAATAAATCAATAATTTTTCAACTAAAAAGAATCTCATTCTTTGTATCGTGTTAAATCTTACGAACGTGGATATTCAAGCAACATCTTGTGATACTTCCGGGAAGATTCATATGCTTTCACATTCTTCCAGTTCGCACGCCAACTTGTCCAACTTTCAGACGAGTTATCGAACGATGGTCTCAGGTGCCGAAAATTTCTATCAGCCATAATTTTATATGGATTTTTACACCTTGTTTCTCTCTCTCTCTCTCTTTCTCTGTCGTCATAATCAATAACATACAGACGTCTAGGGGAATTGGATTCCAATTGGTGAAAGCACGTTGATCGGAACACGTGTTCGCCAACGATGTTATAATTAATCCGTATATACGTATAGGTAATATGAGTCATTAGTTGAGATTCTAATAATTTGTTCGTTAAAATCGTATGTGATATCGTTCAGAATTATTCGAACAGTTTACTGTATCGAGATGATATCATGAAAATATCTGTGCTATCAACTATCTTTATTTAAAATATAAATGAAATATTAGATAAGAAAGATCAGATTAGAGAATATTTTGTAATTTATACGCATCTGTAGTATCATTTGAAATTAATACAGTATGTGTAAAATGTAAAAAAGAATGTATAATAAATAGATTTTTGTGCATTTGTGGAGAATTTAAAACTGCAAAATTGCACAAGTTGCACAAGAAAATATGTAAAATATCTAAAGCACAGTGCTCTCTAGGCGTAGTATTTGGCGTAAAATAATTTTCTTCCAGATTTTTGTCTGATAATGAATATTATGTACATATACAACAAATACTATATGATTATAACATATATACTACACCATAAATATATCACATATACCGATATAAATGTAATAAATATAAATATATTACACGCCCTCCCACACACACGCACGCACGCACGCACGCACGCACGCACGTACATATATATAGTCTGCCTAAAAAGTCAAATTAAAATTTTAAAATAGTATAAAATAAATAATATTTATTCAACAGTATTCAAAAATAGAAAGATTATTATTATTATTATAAAGAAACCCATTTTACGTTCGTTCATTAACAGCCAAACTAAAAATAAAAAGTAATATAAGAAAAATGAACTTAAAAGAATTACATTACATTCAATATATCGTAATTCTTTTTCGAAGTGCGTATTATATTAAATAGTTAAATACATAAATATAAACAAAAATATAATAATATAACAGGTTCGTAAAAATATTTATAACTCTTCACGGCGCCTTCCATAAGGTATCCCATAAATTTCAGAAGTTAAAAATACCGTGCAAGGCTAAGGGAAATGGTTACGTGGCAAGCATTTTATGAAGCTTCATAAAATAAAAATTGTCTGCGAGGTGAACATCTGCCTCTCTGCGTTATGGGCGACTGATCGCCCCACGGATAAGTAAGTAACGAAAAAAATCTGCTCGATTTCGCTTTTCGATAATTTTGTTGGCTGTGTTGTTTTCACGCAGGCTGGCCTTGAGCGACGATGCAGTGTGCAAGAGAGGTAATACTTGGTTGTGTAGTGAACTTGCCTGCTACTACGAAACTAGTTATCCAAGAACATAATAAACGGATATCGTGCCATGGAAATCACATGACACGCATGGATACACATTGAACACGGTCATTGCTCAATGTTGCATATCTTGTAAACATACCAACCGTTCCATATTATAGGTACGTTCTGGGACGCGAATACAACTGTGAAATTTAACAACTGCCGTACGGGCCAATTATTTGCAACGTGGACGACCTCGTGGATTTTTGTAACCTTGAGATGTGTCGTCAAGGGCATGATTCTGAACAATTTTCCCCCATATATGGGTATCGTACCGTTATTTTGGTTCCCAACATATTTTAGTTTCTGAGACAGAAAATGTTTTTGTTACCGCGTATTGTTTGGAATATATTTGCGTTAATTATCAATGTAGGTGTGGATTAGAATGCTACTGGAGTGGCGAAAGCCCCGATAATTTTAACGGAATGTAAAATATCTCCTGTACGATATTAGTCGCACGGTGAGGTCATTGTACCGGCGACAATGAAAAATTGTCGATAATTTAAGGTGATAATTTTGTAAAAGAAACCTTGTCTCATTTTAAAGCTTGAAACTTTTACTCGCGAGTTTGTTTTTTGACTTTGCATCAAGTAGTTGGTGAGAAGGTGAGGATACTTTTTTCCCTCGAAATGTGTAGAAATATTAAAGAATTTATTTTCGCGACTAGATGTACTATTATTTTGGTAGATTTCTTTACAATGATCCCCTAAAACGATTTTTCTTTTTACCTTTTTATCGAACGTTGAATATTAGGGTTAAACGAAAAAAATTCAAGAAAATCCAACATGGTCCTAATGTTCAAGTACGAAAAATATCGAACAAGTAATTTCGTAAAGAGAAAAATTCAATCTTCAAGACCATGATAGATTTAGCCACAAAAATAATTTTTTAATATTTTCACGCGCATTTGAATTTTTATAATTTTCGAGAAAAAGGTATTCATTTTCCCACCCTTCACATGATGTAAAATCATCTTAAAGAAAATCGAATTATTTTACAAAGCGAATTATTTTATAAAATTATTATATCAGCAATTATCTGATTTTTTATCAACAATTTTCCATTATTATTGGTACCGTAGATATACACCGTGGAAAACGTTCAAGTTAATTTGAAAACAAGATGATGAATGTCTTATCTTTCTTAATCTTTTTTTTCATAATTATTTTTATTCTATTATTTCTTTAATCTCTGTATTACAAGATTATCTAATTAATAGTTAAATGGATAATTTCATAGCAGAAATACTAATACTACATACAGAATACTAATTATTTAAATAATAAAAATAATAAAACTTGTACAACGAACATCAAATAAATAATAATAAAATCGTACGATATTTATTTAAATAACGACGATTATCATTAAATACGAAATATTTAAATAAAACGAGTAAAGAGAATTAAAAGCGTGTGCACGTGCAAGTGCTGTTGCGAATATTTAAATTAATTTGAAAGCTGGATGATGAACCTTCAACGACGAATATAGTTGCACAGGTATCTTCTAATGCGTCTCTACCGGATACAAGTATTATTTGCCGTGACCTCGATTAATCCACCGGCGAAAGAGGCGAACTTGTGAAACAACGTTAATGCCATTTACTTGCATCCTGACATGCCCAATCCTTCGGTCTCACAGGCTGCCGACTATCGAGAAATACCTCGCGTATAACTAAGTACTGTTGATGAGAGAGATATGGAAAAGTCATAAAATTAAAGCGTTAAATGATGACACCGATTAACCGCAACTACAAGTCTGTACAATCGGCTCATATTGTTTAACTTATTGTGCAAGATTTATTAAATTTTATCGTTGCTTTATCGACTCTGCATCTGTAAGTTTTTCAATTTTTCTGGGTAATTTTACTGGGTAAACTAAATAATAGATTTCATATAGATTTCATAAGCTTATTATCAAGAAATAGTTTATTACAGTATTGTAAATACTTTAGTTTCGTGAAACTTCATAAAATATTATTAAGTATTGAAAACTATAACGATACAAAGTTAAATTATCTAATTTCGAAATATTTGAAATATTCTCTATCACGGGAAGTATATAATAAAAAGTAGAATTAAATGCCTAAAATTTTTGTTATCAAACATAAATTATAGTTTGATGTGAAATATTTTGTTAACTCAAAAGTCTTTAATCCCTTAACGTATAAATTTTTCTTCGTTTGTAGATAGAATGATTTTATTATAGGCTATTTAGATGTAATAGCTGAGTGCTAATTAAATAATTTTATATATATATTTCTTTGTATAATCTGTCTTAATGAATAGTTAAAATTAAGACTTAAGAAATAAGAACAAGTGTATATCTATTACTTTCAGCATATATTTATAGCACAATTATATTTTTTCCAAATTCTGAGAATTTTTTCAATCTCTAAGTTAAGTATAATAGACTTCTTTAAAATATTTATGACTTTCAGTATCAATTTTACCAAATTTTTATCTGAAATTTTTAATTAATATTCTTTACGAATATTTAATCATCATTTCAATAATAAATTTTTTACCTCATATAGGTAAAACATAATAACATTTATACCATTTTTTTTATCCCTCGTTCCACTACTCGATTCATTATTTTTTTAAACTTTCTGATTTTTGCTATGTCTTTTTGATGAACAGTACTTGGGTCAAGTAAATTTGTCTTCTTCGTCCGTCATTGCTTGGCGAATGCTAAGAAATTACAGAGAATCAGAATGGAGTTTCGATGACGAAAGTAGACAGTCGGTGCGAAAGAACGCCGAGCGAAAGAATGTCGTCCTGCCTGGCACATCGTCGGCTAAAGTGGCGAGAACTGGGAAGGAGACATCGCCGACGGTAACCCGTTACGTGCCCACCAAACGTAAATAGTCGCAGGAACGACGGATCTTGTAAACAGTTGCAACTTTCTGAAACGTCGTGTATTACGTATTCTGTGTCGTTCGACGAGAAATCGCCGTGAACCGAGTGAATTTCAAGGGTTAGCGGAGTAGAAAGAAACACAAGGAAGGAATGCTGCTTTCTTGCTGATGTAACTCCCTTATATTAAACGGATTTCTTCTTCTTGGTTTTCTAGTAAAAATGATTAAATTATTTTATAGTGAGAAAAAAATATCGTGATCGTGAAAATGGGTGTGTAAATTTTTATTATAAATAGCTATGAGATGATTCATCATTTTATAAAGTGAAATTGTAATGAAAGTTTCCTTTTTGTTTAAGTTTGTTCTCATTGATTGCTACATCTGTTTCAAGCCAATGTCAATTTACTAAATAAACAGTTAGCAACTAGAAGTTCGGTATTATATTTTAAATTATATATTAAATACATTAAATATTTATTATATTTTTAATACATGTAATATATTATTATAATTAATATTAATAGAATTATATTTAATGGATATAAAATTTAGTATGAATCTAAATAATGCAGTTTGCTTATTAAATATAAAAGCTTCACAAGCATCATATTTTCTTAAAAACAAAAAAATTGGATCATCAATTGCACAATTGCATAAAAATAATTTTTCTTATTATCCATTTCATAAAGTATTCAAAAGATTATAGGTTTCATATCACTTATTCAAAAGTAGTCTGTCACGTTTTATTGATTGAAAAAAAAAAGAGAATGAAAAATTAGATTATCAATTGCACAGAAATAATTCTTCATTATCCATCTCTTGTGTAAAGTACTCAAAGAATTATAAATTTCTGTTCATTCAGAAGTAGGCGAATATTCTGTTGCAATGTTTTTCCAAGTAGTAAAATCAATGACATACGCGTCGAGGCGCAACAGATGAAGTAGTAAATGACTGTGCATGGTCAGACGTTGCTATGTAGTACTATTATCGCTACTACTCTTGCGCGATGTACTCAACACATTCATGAAACAAATGTTCCGCCACATTGCACCGTCACAGGTATTTCATTCCTAGCAATTTGCCAACGTTTGATAGTCACGAGCATTCGTAAGTTTGTTCGCGCACTATAGTTTTTTCATACCTAATGAAAACACACACATTGCGCTGTATTAACGCAATTTTCATGTTTTTATTGTTGTCAATCACTAGAAAAATTATGTATCAAATAATACAAGTTCTACTTGTTTTCTGCGTGTTAGGTACATCTATAATGAACATAATAACGTATAAATTGTAAATAATTATAGAAATAAATAAAGTAAGAAAATGAGTGAGTATCATTATGAATTTTGAATATATGAATTATTTTGAATTATGAATTTTATATATTCTTTTAATAATATAGTCATTAAAAAATATGATGATTTGTAACGCATCTCAATTTTAATAATTTCGCCAAAAATCTTCTTCCAATTTTAATAAAAATGTCATCTTATTCTTTTTCCAACGTTAATAAAAAATATTTCACTCGAAATGTATTTTACTTGAAGAAGAATAAAATATTGAGTAATTAATTAATTATTTCATTAATTGAATACTTGAAACATTCTCGTCATGTCATGTTATCATGGACATTAATTTCAATTCCAAGTTACGTATTTCAAATCACGTATAAACTTTCTATATCCGTCGCGATATCTTTCCTTCGATTAATAATGAATTCCTCTTTTTTCCATGCAGAGTAGAACGAGCACACGGGACTGCAGAACGAACATTGCGAGGATGATGAGCTCTATGCAAACGCAATTGCCTGGATCCGTGCACGATTATCAAATCGACCCTTACCGACTTCTCGATGACGATCTCAAAGACGTCTACGAGGATATACGAGAGGTCAGTCAATCTTTATTTCATCTAAGATAGTAATTAAATTAAATTAAAATATTAACTAAATCATCTTCATAAACCGAAGCAATAACATCATCTTGCCAATTAAAGATTGTGTCATTCGACACATTTTCTCGAGATGTTACATGTTTCACCGTGTTCACTTTTTGTAAACAAGAGTAGACAACCTAGATACGTCTCTCCGACAAGCAAACCAGTTCGGTTAGTGGTGAAAATATGGAGGTCGAATTCCTTAGACAGAATTGTTATACAGTTTTTCTTTTGACAAATTACATCATAAATTGACAGAAAAAGTCATACATTCGAGAGGCCGAAGTAGCGAGAGAATTTTAATTGTGATCACGTAACCATTGGTACTTAAGTACACTGTCGGTACTTACTTGTTTTCTTCGTATTACAAAATTATTAGATCGTCGCGAATGTCGCAATTTTTGAAAATGAATTCGATTTTTAAAATATCATTTTATCGAATATTTAATCAAAGAAATTTACTGTGACATGTTAATGTAATTATTCAGCACACTTTTCCAACTAGCAACTAAATTCAAATTTACAAGAATAATTAATCTTGGAATAAAGATGTTGCAGTGTTATGCATTTGCAGTTCCTTTTAATTGATTTATGCATCGAAAAGTGCAATAAAGAACAAAGTCTTTAAAAAAATTTTTTTATTACTAATAACCGAAAGAATAAACAAACTTTAAAAAAATTTTTTTATTACTAATAACCGGAAGAATGAAAGAACTGCGAACTCCAATTTCGTAAACCAATTTTTCGTATAAATGATCTAATTTCGTAAATTTAAATCAGTTCTCTTTCATAAATAAATTATCCAATTTCGCGAACTGATTTTCTACGTCATTTCATCGAAGAAATTCCACAATCGTATGTATTTCGTAAACCGATGAGTTTGTTTACTCTTCCACTATACGTGCGATTATGCGTGATACTTGGCTTTCTTTCCTTCCGGATTTGAGCCACATTTTTTCTGTTGAAATACTCTGACGGAAGTAGTTGATGATTCCTGGCGAATCGACGCGGTTTGCACCGAAAATGGTAGCAGGAAATCGAGTTGCTAGACTCGATTCGAAGAAATGCAACGCGTGAGAGTGGACGAGTCTGCAATTTCGTGCGAAGTTGAGTTTCATTATGCGACGAGTTGTTTCCAGACTCGAGTTGATTGTGTTTGGTATTTTTGCAAGAGTCAGTGGATTTTTTTGTTAATTTCTGATATTTGTCACGTTGAAATTTTTAAAATTATTTACTGTTTATCGAGGTCTAGAATACTGAATTGATTTGAAACAGACAAGCGACTGCTACTTGTAAGAGTTTATTGACCTGTTATTTTATTTACTATTATTATTATTTTATTGAGTTTCGTAAAAATGTACGCGTAAATTCGTTATTAGAAACCTATTTCTTTTTTGTGAACTCGAGAGATATAATTAGAAGCTTACTATTTTTTTTATTTAAGACATATTTAACTTGCATTTATTATTTTATTTATTATTATCATTATTATTAGCTTATTGAGATGTCTGTATCTAGTGAAACTATACATATATAATTTGAATGAAAATGTAGTAATTGATTATTAAAAGTTTATTACTCTCCCACGAAATTAATAGAAATATGCTGAAAAATGAGGAGTAAGTACGTGATCGTAGTATAAAAATTAAATAATTTTTCCATCAATATCTTGGCTAATTTAATATCTATGTGCAATTCGGAGATATTAATATTTCTTCTTTTTTAAATTAATTTTTATATTAATTTAAAATCTAATTTAATTTCCTCAGTTTCTTACAAGCAAACGATTATAAATCCTTAATATTAATATCTCGATATTAATTTCTTAGTTAATTTAGCATTTATACACAACAATTCAAAGAATTTAGCATTTATACACAATATTTATTATTATTAAATCTGTATTACTACTGGCTGAATGAAATAGTCATTTTTCTTCTCACAAACAAAGAAAAATCGAATTTTTAAATCGTTAATACCAATATGCTCGATATAATAATTAATCTAATATCCATATACAATAATTTAAATAATTTAATATACTAATATTTATCATTAATATATTCTAAATTATTCCGTTAACAAATCATTGTACAATAAGAGCATGTTGCTAATAAAGCATTAGAGCATTGCCACTTATGTAAAGTACGTATGAAAAATCGTCATGGTAATGCGTTATTATAAATATTTATACCAACGAACGGTGTTTTCACAAATAGTCCATGGGTGTTGGAGCAAGTTAGCGAAAGCAGCCCAAGCAGACTTCACGGTCTGCATATATGGCCGAGAGTAGAACTTTTACTTACGGCTGGCTTGTCTAGGTCTCGTAACAATTGTATTTGCGTATGCACGTGCAAACGCGTTTAGAAAGCACTTTTTCTCGTCGCGACAGTGGAACGCGATAATACTGACTTGTCACGCAATTACGTGCCCTCGCTGTCGTGTATCGCGGGCTTTTCGGGGTTAATTGACTCGTAATCGATGCAGGCTTGTTTCATTGAATCATTATATGTACATACTAACACGTTTGCACCGTACACGAATACTCTCGTGGATCAATATATTTGTCAAATATATTTGTTAATTTTCATTACATTCTTTTATATTTATATAATTTATTTATATATATATCATATATAATAGTATATATATATATATCATATATAATAGTATATATATATCATATATAATAGTATATATATATATATATATATATATGTATGTATTTATTATATTATCATCTATTTTTATTATATTTATTTTAGTTAAATCAATCATTATAGAAATATTGATTATTAATTTTCATTGTATTATTATATATTATTAGAATATCAATTTCTGTTGTACTATTACTATCTTCTGTTTTTTATATTTAACGTAGATTTTGAATTTTGCGTGTTTTAATTTAATTATTCGTATAACTTCTCTTTATTACACTATAAGTATGTACTATTGGTTTCTTTTTTTTTCAATTTTTTTTTTTTTTTTGGTTTTAATATAATAATTAAATAATTCTAATTTATGGTAGTGCGATATAATATATTTATAGGTATAGAATGCAAGTACATACTTCTGAGAGTGCGTGTAAAAAGCATGAAACTTAAGAATTTTAAAAGATTTGTCTTTTCTTGTTTCTTCTAAAAGGAAACGCATACCTTTGTCTTCCGGCTGTTTTGAGAGTTGAGCGTGAATTCATCAGCTGTAATGCATCAAAAGAATGCGACTTTTCGTTTCGCTCTACTTTCTTCAGGCTAATGGCCAGAGACGTAAATTTCGTACCAAGAGCCTAATATTCTGCTCGAAAGAAATTTCTAGTCAGTTTGATATTTACATCCTTCAATAGTTTTCAAACTTCTCACAAGAAATCACCATAGTATTTCAGAATGTTTCTATTTTCACTTTATGTATTTTCGTGTGCCTCTGTAAATTTTCCGTGAATGCGTAAATATCAGCAGTAAAGTATCAGAATTATATTTTAAACATTTTCTATATTTTTGGATATTTTCCATGTTTTTGCATGTTACATGCATTTTTGTATCCTCGCATCTGACAGTATCAAGCATCATAATTCGGTAATAATCATATTACTTAATTGCGCACATTTTGCATACTTGATAATTATTCAATTAAATTTCCCATGCATTAAAAATTAATACAATTAATAAAAAAGAAAATATAATTAAATTTCCCACATAAAACTCATAGAGATCATGAATTTCGAAAGTTCGAAGGGTAAGAAGCTCGGAGTGCTTCGGCCGAAGTCCGTAATGCTCGACTTCCGGTCACATGCGCGAAACAGCCACGCGGAAAGTGTCTCTGACGTAAGCTTGCGAAACGAGCTCTAGTAAAGAGCGCTCGTTCCTTTCGATTTTGGCCAAATTCCAGGACGAACTTTCAGCCGTTGTATCGCCGTTTGAATTCAAAGCGGATCGGTCCTCGCCTTTTTCGTTCTCTTGCTCGTTCTCTTCCTTCTATCGGATGCTTGCAACTATAAGTCCATGGCCTGCGACTCGTTCCTTCACGTATACTTCATCATCATCGTGTTATGGGCATCGATCGTCTATGCGTCGCCCCGATCAGTCGCTTCAGAATAAAATATGTAACACCTGTATTGAATTGAAATGCACCGCGTCGAAAACGTATTGGCACACTTTTTTTTTTTTTTAAATAGGTATTTTTATATAGTAAAATAAGGTATTATCATCGAGCATGTCTTTTCAACGTATAGATGTTTCGAAGTGTGAAGAGAACACTCAATGATGTAGTATGAAGAAATTGTAAAAGAAACAAAAAAATTTCATAGTTAGAGAAATATCGGTGCATGCTTGTGATTTTGTTTTTGTATCTTTCAACTAGATACAATAAAACAAAAAAAATTGGCACACTATAATTAACGTGTTCCAGAAACCGCGTGTATAAATTGAAAAGGTAGAATTCGTTAGATTTGGTAAAGAATTTACATATTGTATAATATAAAATGATGTATTATATATTATATATATATATATAGTGTATAATATAAAATAGTATATTATATACTAGAAAATAGTATATTTTGATACTAAATAAACACTAATAATATAATTCAAGTCTTAACTCTTATTGATATTTTCTTAAACAATGAACGCAATATAATAATATATTTATTACAAATAATACATATAAATTTGAAGAAAAAAGAACTGAATTAAGCATAATTTTAAAAATACAGTACCATTTTAAATAAAACTCTGTATCTTGCCATATTTCGATGATATTGAAAGTTATTTTAATACTTATATTTTGCAACGCTTTCATCGCTCAAGTGAGGTCAAATCCAAACTACAATAAAGTGGATAACGCAACAATTTAGTAATTTAAGCAGATGGACAGTTTTTACGAGAAACGGAGAGAAGCCGGGTGTCACGGTTTTTCTAACGTTCCACGGATATACAAATTCTTTTTCACCGTTCGGAGTCAAGGTTACGTTTGCCATTGTTCCAGGTACTCGTCAGGAACACGACGCAGAAGGAGTTGCAAACTATAGCGACGTACTATTTCGACGGTAAGGGAAAGGCATTGCGGCCGATGGTAGCAATTCTCATGGCACGGGCTATCAATTACCATAAGGAAAGAAAGTGAGTTGTGAGAGGCACGCCTCTCTGCAGATTCTTTCAAGTTCGCCGTCAATAAACTTTTTCACCTTTCTCAAATTAAATTAATTCCTTAGCGGATTGTATTTTAACTCTATTCGATTCGCGTGTGGCAATTTATGTTATTGAAAATGTGTACTTTCCTTAGTAAATTCTTTTTTTTGTTTTTTTCCACCAGCAGATTCTTGTTTTTTAATATTTGCGATGGTTAATGAAAATCGAAATGAAACTCTTTCATCTTTCTGAAATTAATTAATTCCTTAGCGGATTATATTTTAATCCTCGCGTTGGATTTGGATTCAGTTTGGATTCAGAACCCATTTGGAATCAGTTAGTTTTAATTTATGTTATTAGAAATGAGCACTTTCCTAATAAAATTCGTTTGTTTTTTCTACGAGTGGATTCTCGTTTTCTAATATTACCTGATAGTTAATGAAAATTGAATAGTTAATGAAATCGAACACGAGAGAACTCAATGAACTTTTTGACTTTTCTGAAATTAATTAATTCCTTGATGAATTATATTTTAACCTTCGCAAAGTGAGTACTGGGTTCATTCGAATTCACATGTAATTTATGTTATTGAAAATGAACTTTCGTAGTAAATTCTTGTGTTCTTTCATCAATGAATTCTTGGTTTTTAATATTGTATAGTAATTAACAAAAATCGAATGGATGCACGAACATATAATATTTATTGGCAAATTCATTGAAATTTGTGTATTATAAAATCCGTCAAAATTCACATTAGAATTTGCATAGAGTGTTTACGTATATCAAATGATTATGATTTCCGAGCGAATTACCTCTGGCTCCGAATGATCTTTATATCCAGCCACATGAGGATTAATATAATTAGAATCATATCTGATTAGAATATTTAATAGTAATATACTATTTTACACTATCGTCCGTGGACTTGTTGATGCAATTTCATAAAAAGATAAAAATCGTTCTGTTATCTTAATAGAAATTATTAGATTCTGTTTAATTTGACAAAAAGATAAAAGACAGAATCGGAATCTGTACGACAAACGGAGAATAACCAAGTATGAAAAAAAGATAGTCTATATTCGAAGGATTTAATCTATCCTTATAAATATCGATTAAAGTACGTCATCGAAACATTGTACGATCAAGGATCAAGGATCAAGGAATCGATCATAAAAACTCATTGACAGGCAATTATTATAGATTTCCTCGCTAGTCAGTGGGTTTATCTTCGGCATCAGTTAAATCGTAAAGTCACGCTCGTTACTATTCACGATCGCCCGAGCATACATACGTTACACTAGTTCTCATTCACGGGACAGCTCATTCATATTAATTGGCCGTTCGTCGCTCATGTGACAAGTAATTATTTTCATAACGATTTATGAATTAGAAAGAGAGACAGAAGTGCTAGTCAGTCACATTCCTTCGATGCTTTCTAAACGCCCGGCGAAGCTACTTTTTCTCGCTATCTATTGGTAAATGACAAAACACGCCCTTCGTTTACATGCATTTACACCGCGTAACAATAAACTATTTATGTTTTTTCTTCACTTTTCACTTTTTTATGTTATTTTTTGATTTTGCTCAATTTTAAGATTTCAAGGGCAAGCACGAGATTTATAAATAAAATCTTTTTTCTCACGAAAATGTAATTCAGGTATCAGGATTTTTGTCTACAAATGTACACACAGAGATGGACGAAAGTACACTAAATGAAAAATTATCGATATTTTAGACATTTAAACTTTGTGAAATGGAAATTGGCCTCAAGCATATAATCTTTATACTGTATCAATCTTAAATTATATTATAAAATTATTATATCTAGAGAATATTATAAAATCCGTGTAAAAAGATCTCTTATAAAAGTTATAGAATTCTTCTAAATTTATATATATTCTTCCAAATTTTTTCTCTGTACTTGGTTTAGGAACTAAGACATCGAAGCGATGAATAGTTAAATCGCAAACACTCGATTGGTTTCAGTGGTCTCTTGGCTTCGCAGCGACAAGTGGCGATGATCTCCGAGATGATCCATAACGCTTCCTTGATCCACGACGACGTAATCGATCAGCCGGATTTCCGCCGTGGCAAGCCTTCGATCAACGTTGTGTGGAGTCAGAAGAAGGTAAGCGACGAAACTCACCAAACACTCTCTAAACTACAATTGTAATCGAATAAAATTCACATTCACATTGATTCATTGAAGACTCGCTTCTTTTTTTTTTCTTTTAATAATACAATCAGTGACTAAGCGGTTATTCAACACCAGTGTGCCTTGAAATGTTAAATAAACGCGAGGAATAATTTCATGCTTGAAAAGGTGAGCGACACGATCGTTTCTCAGAGAGCTTTTTTTCTTCAGTCTCGAGTCACGAGATGTTACGTAAATTTCTAAATAACCATGCATGTTTCTCTTTTTTTTTCTCTTTTTATAAACAATGTTTCTCACATATAGTAGTGAGAACTTTTGAATATTAAACTAAATCATTGAATGTGAAAGATTCAAATATAATGCAAATTAATATTAGATAAAATAATATTTTTATGAGAATAATGTTCTATTTTTGTCTTTTTATTATAATTACATTTATAGAAATATGAATTCGCTGATAGAAAAATGAAAATTCGCTGTCTCTTAAACGTTATAAAAAGTTGTTACTCGTGGGTTTATGTAAAAAATTTAATTATATAAAAATTTTTTTTGATAAAATTACGAAATTACAATTAGACTGCGAATTTTTATGCAAATTCGTATATCTGGGAATATAATTAAAATATGGTTAATTGTCTTACATAGCAAATATTATAGATAATGAAAAGATAAATTCAAAATGTTATAGATAATGAAAAAAAAAATTCTGATTTTATAGTATAGCAAATTTGTGATTTTATAGTATAATTCTATAATTTCATAATTTTATAATTTTATAGAATAATTTTATAAGTCCGTAATTTTGTAAAATAATTCTATAATAAATTTTGTAACTCTATAAAAGAAACCTCTATAAAAAGAGAAAATTAAAAAAGGACATTTTATATTATTGCTATATTATTTCACATTACTAAGGATTAACTCGGAAATAAGACTCGTGTGGGTTCGAATTCGTCCCCTTCGATTTTTTAGAATTAATAAAACGTCTCGAGTGTATCGGGCTGTCGATTTCTAATCGATCGTTTAGACGTGTCGTACATGTGGAGATTTCACACGATGCACCATGAATTTCGATATCTTCTCGTCGATCGATGAAAACTGAAACTCTCTCTGAAATGCTGAAAGAGAGAAATATAGAGAGATAAAGAGAAGAGGAAGAGAGAGAGAGAAAGAGAGAGAGAGAGAGAGAAAGGAAGGAGGCTAATGCGATTCATGATTGTACCATTGCTAACCGTGCACGCTTTCTTGGACTGGAACCGGAAGAGGGCCATCTTCTTTTGGTTTACGTGTGATCCTCCAAGCATACCTCGCGAGAGATTTCGAAAAGAGAATTGACGTCAAATTAAATTATTTTTCTTCGCTAGAAGAAAGATTGGTTACTGGTGTGGATAATTAATGATGCGTTAGAAGGAGTAGCATTAAATTCGAGAAAAAATAGTTCGAGAATTAATTATCTTATTAATCGTATTTTTGAGTTAAAGTATCCGAAATTAGAATCGAACAAACGGATGAAATGACAATAAAATAGAAAATGACAAAGTTTTTGGTTCTAATTAATAATAATTGAAATAATTTTAATTATAATAATTCATTCAATAATTCATTCAATTACAATAAATGACTTTGATTATAATTAATTTAATAATGTATGTACTAAATTTTATAGGACTATAAAGTACTATACTCTAGATATTTTATATATTTTTTCACAATGTGTATTCCAAACAGTTTTATAATTTTAAATTTTCGGTAAATGTATAAAAATCCGCAATTTATTAGTCAGATATTCTTTGAGTTTCAAGAAATAATAAAAAGAAAATTCGTAATAAGGAATTCTTGTTAGGATTTTCAGAGAAAGTTTTTATTATACAGGACTTTTATTATTACGGATTTATAATTTAGGTCATTTATAATTAATATAATCAATATTTATTTATCTATTTTTTTAGAATTCTTAGTTTCACACTCAATGATTATTTTTCACGTAGAATTTTTTTAATGACTTTTAAGGACGGTTCTTATTATATAGGATTCTTATTATTCTTATTTATTACTATTGTGATTTCAAAATATTCGTGTTTACTCGTTAAAGCAACAGTAGAAAAACAAATGACTTTTACTCAGTGTCGGATTAACTCGTTTACGAAACCGGAACATCATAACTTCAGCAAAACTTGATATTTTAAAATTTCCATGCGCACCAATTTTGCTCGTAGTTATAATATGGACATAATTATGCGTTGCAAAATGTCTGTGTATTGTGTAATATGTTTCGTGTGAGTGCGCGCGCGCGCGCGCGCGTGTGTGTTAACAGAGAAAGGTTACAGATCGTTGGGAAGTTGGTCAAGAATTCTTATTTAGTCGAACACTATAAATTGCTAATGACTGCTTGCTCAATTTTAACATTGGCTGTATAGGAATATTTTAATTATCCAGTAATATGATACGTTTCAATCTTAATCGCAATAACTAGTCACCTGTTGTGATTGAATCTATCATATGGTATTCATCGTAGATATTAAATATTTTATGCGTATAAAATAATATCATAATAATAATTCTGTGGTAGTAAAGAACTCATAAAAATAATTTTGTGTAAAACTTAACAATTCATAAAAGTCGTCCTAAAGCTAATTGTAATAAGAATTCTTGAGTTTTTTAAAATAATTTTTTGATGTTCGTGCATGAACAATCATATTGCAACTTTTCGACGAATGTAGATATATGTATATGTATCTATTGTAGAAATATTTTACATAATTATTCAGTGACATGACATATTTCAATTATAGCTGATCATTTATTGCTACAGTCCCATTGAACTTATTGCACAGTATTCATCCTAAAGATGATTAAATTTTTTTATTTAATTACGTGTATTTTAATACGTGAATATAAATACTTTATTGAAAAAATATTTTAATTACTCAGTAACATGGCATAGTTTAATTTTAATGGTATTACAATACTAATTACTATATTATTATAATAAGGCACTCACTCATATATTTGATAATATAATACTCATTCATTCAATTGATAATTATCACATAACATTTATTCTAGCGATCATTAAATTTTTCATGTGTATTTTATATTAGTGTATGATATTATATAACTCTTTAATACACTTATTTTATAAGTGTATTAAAAGAACACAATAAATAATTACACTTTAATTAGTCATTAACGGCATGTTTCAATCTTAATTATAATAACTAACTATAATTAGAATAACTAATAAACTAAATTTATCATACAATAATTATAATAACTGTAATTATAATAACTAATCAATTAAATTTATCATACAATACTCATTTTAGTGATCATTAAATTTTTTGCATGTTTTTCAATACGCGAATATTCATATTGCAATTCTTTTAAAAAATTATTTAACTTGTATTGAATATTTAATAATTAATATTTTTCATTGAGGAAATGACTAACATAATTGTTAAGATGCAAGATTCAATCTACCGTCAACAAAAAAGCCAGCTATTATATCGTAATAATTTACAAACTGTTACACAAAAGCAATTGGGCAATGTCTTTAAATGAGCCGCATCGTACATGAGCAAGATCAAGATGTTGGCAATGCACATTCACTTCAGAGATAGAATCGATATAGATATTTCATTTTCTTGCTTTATATCCTAAAGAAGTTTCGTCTAGATTTTCTATTCTAGAAAATATTTTTTAATTATAGAAATTTTCATATAATACGTATTATCGTGCATTATTAATTCTTATGCATTTTTGCATCTTTCAATTTCTTTTTAATACGTAAAAATTGATAATCTAACGACAATATAAATTAACTTTATTTTCTATTTCTAATCATAAACATACATGGAATAAAATACTAATACTATATTACTGTAATAAAGTATGTAACAATATAATAAATATATAATAAAATATTGCTCAAAATGCTACAATATAATAAAGTACTATTATAGCACTAATCCTAAAACTAGATAATGTAGAAATAAAAATAAAAATCCGCGTAAAGTTGGTTTTCGTAATTACGATCGTTGATTTAGTAATTTTTTGACAAATTTAATAGTAAATTTCGAAATTAAAAAAAGTAACTGTCCGAGCATGAAGCGTGTTCACCACATTGTAAACACATGTTCTCGGTGTTACGCGAGGTTTGAAAAGTGTGACGACCTTGAAGAACGAATTAACGAGTTACAAAGAAATGGAAAGCCGTCAAGATGGCCACGAAAGTCTCTGAAAGGGAGCATTGGGCTAACGAATTGTGAAACATCAGCTTATTAACGGGGCACTAATTGGAAGAGTTGTTGCATAGATATATACGTATAATACGTATAATAGTTATCACATGAAGATAACGAGGCCGTGAAGGAACCTCGAATTCCATATCATGTAACTATTACCATTCGAAAAATATTTTACTCTCGATCTTTGTATTTTTAAATTTCGGGATTTCTTTATCGAGTTGTTATTTGAAAATTCATATTTTTATAAATATCGTTAAAAAAGGAAAACTGGAATTTGAATGGAAATTTCTATCGAAATATTTTAACAAGAATAGACCATTCGTACGATTCTACATATGTAAATTTATTAAAATTTCTTTAAATTTATTATATTTATCACTTAAATTTATTTGTAAAAGTTCAAACGTCACTAAAAAAAGTAAAAAATTCCGTATATACGAATGTTATATAATATTATATAATACTATATATATATTTAATAACATTAAAAATATCATAATTAATATTATAAATTGGCAATATTTATAATTAATGTTGTAATATAATAATATTTTATGATTTATGTGAATATTATTAATATTATTTGTAGTTAATATTAATTATAATATTATAATATTAAAAAATGTTAAATATTTATTTACTCTCGAAGAAGTTGTTTTCTCTGAAATCTCAATATGCTCTAAATTCTTCAGTAGGAGTGTATATTTCTTTTGTAATAAATATTCG